TGCCTGTCCAGCCCGTGCCAGAACGGCGGCACCTGCATCGACGAGGTCAATTCCTTCGTGTGCCTCTGCCTGCCCAGCTACGGCGGCAGCCGCTGCGAGAAAGGTGCGGAGCGGCCCCGSTGTCGCCCCCGGGCCCGGGGACAGCCGGAAAGGGACACAAATCCCGCCCGGCGCCGCTCGCTTCCTCCGCCGCCACTGTCGCCGTGTCCCCGCAGACACGGAGGGCTGTGACCACAACTGGCACAAGTTCCAGGGCCACTGCTACCGCTACTTCGCCCGGCGGCGCTCCTGGGAGGACGCGGAGCGCGACTGCCGGCGCCGGGCCGGGCACCTCACCAGCATCCACTCGCAGGAGGAGCACAGCTTCATCAACGGTGGGCTCGGGGGGCACCGCACCCGCACCGCCCCCTCCCCGGGCGCCCCTCGCCCCCTCCGTGCGAGCCGCGGCTCCCTCTCCCCGCAGGCTTCGGCCACGAGAACACCTGGATCGGCCTCAACGACCGCATCGTGGAGCAGGACTTCCAGTGGACCGACAACAGCGGCTTGGTGAGGGGCTCTGGGGGCTGCGGGTGGGCTCGGGGGGCGGCCGGGGGGCGCCGGGGGTGTCACCCTCTCTGGTGTCCCCCAGCAATACGAGAACTGGCGGGAGAACCAACCCGACAACTTCTTCGCGGGCGGCGAGGACTGCGTGGTGCTCGTGTCCCACGAGATCGGCAAATGGAACGACGTTCCCTGCAACTACAACCTGCCCTACATCTGCAAGAAAGGCACAGGTACGGCCCCACCCCACAGGTCCCGGTGTTCCCATCCCGCAGCCCCCGGTGTTCCCGTCCCGCAGCCCCCAGGCCCCTCCTCATCCTCACCAAACCTTTCCCAGGCGAACTCCGGCAGTTCTTCCCTAATTCTCCGTTTTTCCTTTCTTTCCCTCCCTCAGCACTCGGATTTGTTTGATTTGCTCCCATTAAACCCATTAAATTCCCATTTCTTATCTCGGGAACTCCCATTAACCTCCAGCTGCTCCTCGCGTGCTCCTCCCCGCCCCGCGCGCTAATGACGCCCCAATAAGGCCATTAATTAACGAATTAAACCCGGGGGACACCTCGCTCCTGGAGCCACCAGTGGCAGGGCGTCCCCAGGGCGGGACGGAGGATCCTGGGGGGTCCCGGACGGGTGTCCCTTGTCCCCTCGCAGTGCCAGGGGGGTGACAGCGCTCCGTGTCCCCCCAGTGCTGTGCGGGCCCCCCCCGGAGGTGCCGAACGCTTTCCCGGTGGGAAAGAAGAAGGAGAAGTACAACATCCACTCGAGCGTGCGCTACCAGTGCCAGGAGGGCTTCACCCAGCGCCACGTGCCCACCATCAAGTGCCACAGCACGGGCAAGTGGGACCGGCCCAAAATCCTCTGCACAAAACGTGAGTGGGGACGCGGCGGGGAAGGGAGGGGATTGGAGGGGAGGGGGTGAGACCGCGGCTCCTGAAGCCCCCGCGCCCCCCGCCTTGCCCCCGTTAGCCAGGCGGTCGCACCGAGCGCGGCGGCACCGGCGGCACCGGCACAGCCACCCGCACCACCAGCACCAGCACCACAAACCCCGCAAGGAGCGGCGAAAACACCGCAAGCACCTCCGGCTGGACTGGATGGAGGAGGGCCACTACTTCTGAGCCGGCGGCGGCCACAGCACAAGGGTCCCCCGGGGGATGCGGTGACAGCCCCCGCCCCTGTCCCACCCCGTCCCCCCTCTTTTATAACCCCCTKTCGGCTTTAGCTCCTTAGGATGCCCGGCCCCGTAGGGAATAGGATCCGGAGGGGGCGGCTGCGTGTGCGTCCCCAGCCCTCCCTGCATGTCCCAAGCTCAGCCCCGGCCCGGGCGGGAGCCCCCGGCCCCTCACAGGGACCCCCAGCCCCGTCCCCGCTGGGCTCTGTCCCTGTCCCTGTCCCCAAATCGGGGTGAATCAGCGGCCCCCGGTCCCACCTCGGGTGGTTCTGGTTTTTCAGCAGCGCCCCAATTTCCCCGCCCCAGCACCCCGGGGCGTCCCTGCGGCCGGGCCGGGGGTCGCGGTGCCTCCCGGGCCRTTGTCCCCTCGGGCCGGTGCGTTGGGTGTGTCCCCGTTCCCGCTCGTTTCGGGTCCCCGTCGGGTGATGTGTGTGTGTGTGTACGGCGCTTTCTGATCTCTGCTGTTTGCGACGTGACTGCCGTGTCCCGACCCCTCCCGACCCCCGACCCCCGACCCCTCCCCATTTCTGACTCTGCCTTTCTGTACTGCTGGACATTTTAATAAATTTTTTTAACAGTTGAGCGCCCCCGACYCTGCTCCTTCCTGGGGACCCCGGGACGCGCCCCCTGCGCGGTTCCGCTCCCCCTCTGCTCCTCTCAGCCCTCGGCATTTGCTCGGAGCGGGCCCCGATCCTGTCCCGGGCTCCCCGGTGAATCCCCGCGGCGGCGCTGCCATCTCTGTCGCTGTCGCTGATCGCGGGTTCCCCTCCAGATGGGAGGTGCTGATGGATTTTTCGGGTGGTTCGTGCCTCAGTTATCCCCCCTCACCCACCCCCGAGGCTCCGCTGGCCCCGCCACCCACGGTCCCCGCTGTCCCCTCCCGGGGCTGGGACATCCCGGCACATTTTTGTTTTTCCGGGTCATTAAAGGTRATTTACGGGCCGTGCTCGGCTGAGCCGGGCCTGGAGGATGCCCCGAGCCCTCTCCAAAGCCCGGGGTCCCCATCCGTGTCCTGCCACCCCCACGGCGGCCCCTGGCTGCTGCCAGCCCCGAGTGGCTCTGCTGATGCCGCTCCTTGGATCTAATCCCGATAAATCCAAGGGTTGGGATGCTCGGAGCGTGCCCAGATCGCGCTGGGAGTGGGGACGGAGCAGCCCCGGTGTCCCCGAGATGCCCCAAGGACACAGCAGAGCCCGGCTCAGCTCTCCAAAGCGGCCGAAGCTTTTATTTCATCTAGGTCCAGGGCTGCCAAAGCCTGCGGCCGGTGCCCGGCTGGGTGGGCGCAGCGCCGGTGCCCCCCGGCCCCTCCCGCTCCGGCCCCGGCCAAGCCAAGCGCGCAGGAGCTGCCCCGGCACGAAGCCAAGCCCGGTGCGCCCGGKCCCTGCCCGGCGGGATTTGGGGTCCCGGCGCCTCCCGGGGGGACAGCGCGGGGTGAGGATGAGGAGGGCGGGCCCGGCCGCCCTTCAGCGCATGCAATGGGCGCATCGAGAAGCGAGAGCTGCGAGGAGCCGCGGGTCCCGGCCGGGCTCAGCAAACCCTGTCCCTGCCGCCGCCTCAGCGTCCCCCGGCGCCACCGAGGTGACAGCCCGCCGTGCTGGCGCGTCCCCAGCCCCCGGCAGGGGCTGCCCGCAGCTCCCCGCGCTGCCCCGGCCCGAGCCGGGGGTGCTGCCCACCGCCCCCGCCCTCACACGCGGTTGGGGTGCCCGCCGCCCCCCGGCCCCTTCCCCGGGGCCCCGCCCGCCTTCTGGAAGCAGTAGACCCCGAAGAGCTTGTACTTCTTGTCGGGGAAGCCCAGGTTGCGCACGCCGGGCTCGCGGCCGCCGCAGCGGGCGCGGGGGTTGACGATGGGGTAGCGGATGCTGCCGTCCTCCAGCCAGCCCGCCTCGCAGCGGTCCAGCAGCTGGATCTTCCAGGCCGCGTACAGCTGCCCCACCTTGGCCACGGCCGCGCCGTTGTTCTTGCACGCCTGCACGGCCTCCGAGTAGCTCAGCTTGCGGAAGGTTTTCAGGAAATAAACTTTGCCTAAAGGGGGATGGAGCGGGGGTGTCAGCCCTGGGGGTCCGGCACGGCCGGAGGGGAGCGGGGGTTCGGGGGTGCAAGGGTTGGGGACCCCCTGAACACATTGGGGAATTGGAGAAGGTGGGAGGTTCCAGCCCTGAGGATCCCCCAAAACATTTTGGGGAGTTTGGAGAACCCGAGGGGTTCCAGCGCCTCCAGAAGCATTTGGCAGGGCGGGAGAACACGCGCGTACCGGCCCCGCAGACCCCGCAGATCATTTGGGGGGCTGATTCACCCCCGGGCGSTGTCACCCTCCGCTATTTGTCCCTCCTGCCACCGTTAAATAAACACTGCCGGTCCCCCCGCGCCCCCCGGCTGCGGGAGGGATTCACGGAGCTCTCCCGGCTCCCCTCTGCCTCATCCATCACCCGCCTGTGCAGCTCCCTCCATCCCCGGCTCCTGCCGGGAAAGACGCTTCGGCAAAAAAAAGATTTTTCTTTTTTTTTTTTGCTAAAAAAAAGATTTTTTTTTTTTTTTTCTAAAAAAAAGAAGACATTTCTGCTAAAAAAAAGAGGGTTTTGCTTACAAAGAGGTTTTTGCTAATAAAATTGTCAAAACAAAAAGCGGTTTTGGCTGAAAAAAGAGTTTTGCCAAAGAATAAGAGGGTTTTGCTCAAAAAATAGAGGGTTTTGATAAAAAAAATGTGTTTGCTTTAAAAAAATGAGGTTTTTATTAAGAAAAAGGAGGTTTCTGCTAAAAAAAAAATAAATTTTTGCTCAAGTTGGGCGTTCCAGCCCCAGAAGTGATGGGGACGGGTGTTGGGGGCCGCAGCTCCAGCCAAGGAACCCAGGAATGGACTCCCAACGCGGAGCATCCCCCGCTCGCCGCGGGAATCCCTCCCCCGCATCCCCAGCCCGGCCCGTGCCTCAGTTTCCCCCGCGCCGCGCTCACCGTTGAGGTTGGAGGTGAAGCAGAAGGCGTCGTAGTGCTCGCTCTCCTTGTGCCGGTAGCCGTAGTTGCGCACGCCCACGGGCGTGTCCTTGCGGCCGCACTCCTCGCGGGGCCGGGAGATCGGGTACTGCACGGAGCCGTCCTGCAGCCAGCCCGCGTTGCACCAGTCCATGCCCTCCAGCCAGGCCTGGTGCAGCTGATCGTGGGACGCCAGGATCCCGTCCTGCTCCAGGCACGCCTGCTGCGCCTCGTGGAAGTTGAGCGTGTAGCGCCCGAGGCGCGGGTGGTACGGGAAGATGACGCCTGAGGGGGGATGAGGAGGGGTCGGTGTCCCCTCGGGGCTGGGGACAGCGGGGGGACAGCGCGAGGCGCGGGGATGGGAATTGTGGGGTGGAAACGCAGCCGGGACGAGCTCCGGCTCCGCGAGAGTTCCCGGAGACCGCAGGGACCCGCAGGGACCCCCGGCCCCAGGAGCTTCTGCTCTGGGATTTGGGGTCATCAGTGGTGCCCCGCCACCCCCAAACTGCGCCCCCCGAGCTCCTGAAAAAGGGATTCCCCGTTCCGCAGCCCCGGCGCYGCCACATCCCGCTGCCCGCGTGCTTTACGAGCCCGGGCCACCATCAGTCCGCGGCCTTTACGAGCTGCCACCCGCGAGCCGGCAGCGACCGTAAAACCCCGCCAGGGCGGCCATAAACCACGGCAGAACAAGCGGCCCCGAGGAGCCGCGGGAAGCCCATCCCGGCCGGCCCGGGTACCTTCCAGGTCCAGCTTGACCATGCCGGTGTCGTCCTCCAGCTCGTTGGTCACCTCGCACTCGTAGCGCCCGTAGTCCTGCAGGGTGACGTTGCGGATGATGAGGGACGCGTCCCCGACCCCGTCCTCCTGCAGGGCCGTGCGGCCCCGGTAGGACCCGAACGCCCTCCGCGCCTTCCCCAGCGCCACGAACACGTCCACGAAGGCCATGGGCTCGGTCACTTTGGTCCACTTGAGGCGGATCTCGGCCGGGTCGTGCGCGGTCACGTCGTAGTGGTAGCGGCAGGGCAGGATGATGGTGCCCCCGCGGTGCGTCACCACCTTGCCCGGGGCTGTCTGCACCACCACGGCGCCGCTGTCACCCTCTGCCAAAGGGACACGGAGCTCAGCCTGGCCGCCGAACCGGGGCTGCCGCCGGGAAAGGGACGGAGAGGGGGCGAGGCAGAATGTGGGGACATTTTGGGGGGAAATCCTYTCTTTTGGGGGATTTGAAAACGCTAAGAGGAGTTCGGGAGGGTTATGGGATAATCCCGYTCCCTGGGCAGGACAGGAGGACACGAGGGACGGATGAGAGGCCCGGAGGTGTTTGATGGGTGTTAAACGCAGCGAGCCGAGGGCTGCMGGGGGTTCCCCGAATCCCACCCAGCCCAGGGTCCCGTCCCCACTCACCCATCACATGAACCACCTTCTTCCTGCCCCGGCCATTGAGCAGCGCTTCCGAGGCCACAACCGCGGCGAGGAGCAGCAGCGCGGCCGGGCCGGCGGCCCAGGGGCTTGGGGGGCGCATCTGGGGGGACAGCAGCGCCCTCAGCACCCCCAGC